ATATTCTACGTTTAACCAAAAAGTGGGTGGACTAAAGTGGAAAATGAATGAATTTAATTTTAAGAAATTAATTTTTAAGCTGGGAAGGCAGATGTTAAAAAACCAAACACTTTAAAAGACTGCACAGCTATTATACACATAACGCAAACATAACCGTAGGTAACATCTGAAGTGGATCAAACAATACATTCATATTATTATAGTTTTGATTTATTCATTAAGCAAGAGGAAACTAATACATGGAAATATATGCAAATTACATGACATACAAGTTCATATTAGGATGTCATATATTCAACATTTCAAACTATAGCAAAAATGCAGAAAATATAGCAAAAAATAAAATTAGGCCCACAAATACGTGTATTTTTTTTCAAACATAATATAGCCTACATGAATACATATAAAATTAATTTGTTAAAATGTCATACAGTTAATATATTTGAATGTACATATTGTAATGGTAGAAAAAATATGTAAACATCCCTTTTTGCGATATTTTTAAATATAGCATATTATATAGGCCTATGTGAAACCCAGATAGAAACGTATGTCATGTAATTTGCACAAATGGCATATTACACACTAATTGTGATCCACTTCACATGCAGTACACACCAAAAATATCTGTCCATTAGCAGTTTTCCCTATTCTGTAATTTATTTTTCTCATTTATTTATGCTTTTGAATTGATTTATGGGAGCTTGATATTTCTTTCAACAACTTTTAACCTTGAAAATTTAAAAAAGGTGACATTTTTAAACATCTCCCAGCTGAAAAATCCATCTTAAACCAGCCTAAACTGGTTGGCTGGTTTTAGCTGGTTAACCAGCCAGGTTTTAGAGAGGTTTTGAGCATTTTGAGGCTGGTTTCCAGCCATTTCCAGCCTGGTCTTAGCTGGTCAGGCTGGAAAGTGACCAGCTAAAACAAACTAAAACCAGCTTGACCAGGCAGGTTTAAGCTGGACACAGCTGGTTTTGACTGAGCTCCCAGCCTGGTTAGGCTGGTTTTAGCTGATCATTTCCCAGCCTGACCAGCTAAGACCAGGCTGGAAACCAGCCTGGAAATGACCAAAACCCCGCAAAACCAGGCTGGCCAACCAGCTAAAACCAGCTTGTGCTGCTTTAAGCTGTTTTTTTTTTCAGCAGGGCTTTAATAGTTCAAGTAATACATCATTTACAAAAACCTTGAAATAAACTGGCAGTACATCTTCTGTCATTTTACATGGTTGTTTCTCTATATATCATTTATTATAGGCATACATGTTAGTCTATTTCAAGCTACTAAAATGTCAACAAAAAGTCACTTTAATTTTGTACATAAAAACAGAAGTGACATAGCAAAAATCAAGGTCCCATAATGCAATTCGCAACCTTAGATAAACAGAAAACACTTGTAGATCACAAAATATGGAAACTATTATTTAACAGATATATTTCTTTACAAAGTAGTCCACAACCTTATTAGACGATTTCGACTTCATACCTTTTTGGCGCCAAAACAGCGCCATTATTTAACATTCTCAGCTTGAAGACGGACTAAAAATGCAATAATGCGGTGTTGTTTTAGCGATTCCAGGCTGAAGGGATCCACTGCGGCTCGTTGTCCAGCTTCTGGATGATACTCAGGAGCTCACAGACGCTTTTTTCCGGCTCGTTATTCGTGATGAAGGTGTCAAACAGGTGACCGTAACTGTCCTCCATTTCACGCGCCTTCTCCATCATCTCTCTCACATCCTCGGGCTGCCAAACACGCACGACAGGGAACAAAACAATAAACACTAGTCCGTCAAATGTAACTAAATGCTGCTGTAGCTACGTCAAAAGGTTAACCTTTAAAAGTTTAGCGACACAAGAATAGACAGGCTAGAAAAAAAAAATTCAGGATTCCGCGCTGAAACAAGGCAAGGCATAATTTTTTATATTAATTTAAACTTTTACATTTTAAAGCAGCCCGTTTTATGTGTTAATATGATGATCTATGCTAACAAAAACAAAAAAATAGCTGTATTTTAGTGCAATTTATGACTAATGTTACATATAAGCTTCCATTAAAAGTAACTATCAATACATTTGCTACAGTATAAAGTTTATTACATTAGTCTTTTAAAATACAGATAATTATTTGTTTTTGATAGCATCGATTAACTAGCCTACATAATATTAACATATAGAATTTAGGCTGCTTAAAAAATATAATTGAAATTAATGTAAGATTAAACCTATAAAGCCATTCTTGTGTCAGTAAGGAAATTAACTAATACCAACAAATTGGTCTATCTATCTATCTATCTATCTATCTATCTATCTATCTATCTATCTATCTATCTATCTATCTATCTATCTATCTATCTATAAGAAATCTCTTACCCACCGACTACATTTGATCAATAATACAGTGCAATTGTTTATTTCTTTCGTTATTATCATTTAATTAGCATCGTTAATTGTGGTTCTAAATATTATTAATATATAAACCGTTTATGGTCATATACTATTCAGTATTCTTTGATTAATGGAAAGTTCACAATGACAGGACTTAATAAAAAATTAAATGTCTTGCAACATGTTTTTTTGTGTCCCTGGATTACAGTCAATTTTTTTAAAGATAACAATATATTTTATTAAATATAGTTTTCAACAAAGAGAATAAAATAAATGTTTCGTGATCATAAAATCACCATTTTAGAATGATTCATTAAGGACCTGGTTTAATGATGCTGAAAATTCAGCTTTTAGACACAGGAATAAGCTATATTTTAAAAGAGATTCAGATAGTCGTTATTCTAAATTGAAATATTATTTCACATTTTGGCCATTTTTAAAACCATATTTCCAATTAAATCAATGAAGCCTGGGTGGGCAAAAGATTTCATTTAAAAACATTTAAAAATCACCAAGAACACTACAAAAAAAAAAAAAAAAAAAAAAAAAAAAGATTAATTGGATTTACTAAAATTCTTTAAGGTAAAAGGTTGCAAACCATTTATATGGGCTGAATTTAAACAAACTAAATTTAGTAATGTTTAACTTCATTTAATTAAAATCAGCCCATATAAATTGTTTGCAACCACTTACCTTATAAAAAAGAAGAGTAAATTCAATGAATCATTTATTTCCATAAACTATTGACTGCTATTGTAAAATAACATGAAGTAAAATAAAAAAAGACCATGCGTTTCTTCACTCCTCTGGCCAGCATTGTGGAGAATCGCTCCTGAGGAGGAGGTGGAGAAAGAGGAGGAGGAGAAGGCCTGATGAAGATGATGTATGGTTTAAGATCTGAGGAACAGAGCACTTGCAGCGACTGAGAAATACAAAACAAACCAGAAAAACAAGCTTAATGCAGATGTTCTACAGTAACTGAAAAGAAATTAATGCATTTTCATGTTCACTGTACAATAGCTGACCACAAGCCCATTAATGAATATCACAAAAATGTCCATCATTGCAATTGTTTTAATACAAATATGCATTAATTAATTCTAGGTCTCTAGTGTAAAAATGCTGGGTTCGATTTGTGTTGGGACAACATGAATAAATTTAAGTTTGCTCATTGTTTTAAGTGAACTGAACATAAAACAATTAGGATGTCTCCAAAAAAACTTGAATAATTGTGTTGGTTCGGCTCATTTTAAGTAGTTTGAACAAACAGCAAACATTTTTTTTGAGTGCTAGTAGCTTGTTTTTGTTTTATTTTCAGTACAAACTGACATTAATGTCTCTTGTCAGTGCACCTTTACATATTATATTTTACAATTAATAAACATAATATACTCTAAACTCTAGGTCAGGGGTCACCAATCTCGTTCCTGGAGGTCCGTACCCTGCAGGGTTTAACTTGATTCAAAACACCTGCCTGGGTGTTTCAAGCATGCCTAGTAAGACCTTGATTAGCTTGTACAGGTGTTTGATTAGGGTCGGAGCTAAAATCTGCCGGACACCGGCCCTTCAGGAACAAGTTTGGTAATCCCTGCTATAGGTTATATATATATATATATATATATATATATATATATATATATATATATATATATATATATATATATATATATATATATATATAAAAAAAAAAGACATCGCCCCCTATATGATAGTTTTTACTGATAAACAAGATTAAAGTACTTTTTTTGTTAAATTTGGAGTAAGCAGACATAGTTTAAATCTGCGAAAGCCATTACTTTAAAAAATAAAGGGATAATACCATAAATCCTGCCATGATGGGTGCTTTACCTTCAGCATAATCAGAATTAAAGCAGTGAAATAACTATACATGAATGGAACATAAATCGTAACAGAAACATTGAGAAAGTGAACAGAAAAATGCTGTAAAACGCATGTGCCACATCAAAAACAATTGCAAAAAAGGCCTCAAATTTTAACGTCTATATATATTTGATATAAAATTTCATAAAACCCACGATCTGATTTGATATGGAACGACCCATCAGGATCTCAATGATACTAAAACACAATCTACATTGTAAAAAGAACTATAGAAGTGAAAATGAATTCAAAACAACAACACTGAGGTTTCCTGTCCACTCCATTTCATCTCCTTTTTGATGTGGATTGTATACACCCCACAAGACAGGCCTTTTAAACTTTTCAAGATAAATATGATCCAATACAGCAGTTTGGTAAGAAAGATTCAAGGTCATTATATGTTTTGCATTTTAAAAAGTATTTTATTTTGACACCATAAAATTTGCTCTTAAATTCAGTTTAGTTTGATTAAAAATTTATTTAGTTCTAGTTTAGTTTTATTTTTTTTAGTTAAAAATGTGTATTTTTTTAATTCTGTAAATTGATTATTTTTGCAAAGTATTATTTTATTTCAGTTAGTTTTTCAGTGTCTATTGATAGTTCCGTTCAGTTATTGTAAATCATTTTATTTTAGTTTATGAAAACGTTGTCCAATAGTTTTAGTCTTAGTTATAGTTTACTAAAATAACCTTGGAATGAATTAGATGAAAAAAATACACAAAAATGTAAACATAAGACTGTTTAAAGATATTTAATGTGGTCATAACCATACAAGTAACAAACGCATACAAAGTAAAAAGGTCATAAAATACGAAATATAAAAAATATTCACACATCTCATGGGGTTGCGCCTTGGTGCCATTTCTTGAAGCAATTATACAATGACACGAAACAGCGCTATCTTGCAGTAGGAGCAGAATAAGGGAGTTTTGTTTTTGTTTCCAATTTGCACGACACAAATTTTCTCCCATTCGTTGCATCTGCTCCATAATACTCTGGAGAGCATTCTTTTGTTCGAATGGACAAGTCAGGAGGAGGAGACTCTGTGTTGGAGGGCGAATATGCATTCGGGAAGAAAGGCATGTGTGCCGAATTGTCAATAGACTCTTTGGAAGCAGATGTCAAGGGATCTTTGAACACAGGGTTTCTGTCTCTTCCAGCACTTACGAACTCGAAGTGTTTCCCTGAACTTTTTGTGAAAGATGGGCATCTTTTTTTGGGCTTTCACCAATTGTTGGTTAAGTATGAAACTAAACCACTGCAATGTCAAGAAAATGGTAGAGGATCATCTTGTACCATTTTGTGGTCTTAAAAACATTATAAAACTCTATAAAGGAATTCGAGAGATCAACCGCATCCATATATATTTGCTGTATTTGCGCATGTTTTCCACACACCATCTTCATCTTAGGTATGTCTGCTGACACTATTATACGGGAATGCTTTGTGAATTGTGGAACACATAAGCACTTCTCTCGCATCCCTTCACTTTACAAACAGAAGTGGACCTTTTCGAGACCACCGAATGGATCCTCTTTCTGATCTTTCACCTAAGTCATTGACCTTCGATAAATTGGAGTTATGACTCAAAGTTCCCCAAGCAAAGATGCTGTTCTTCAACATTTCTGAGAAAAGAGTCGGACTGGTATAGATGTTGTCAGCGTATAACCTTCGCCAAGGACATTGCCATCAAGTAGTCTTATTACAGAAGTGTACCCTACACCTTTACCTGAAGAAGCTGAACTCTTTCCATCATGCACAAAGAAATTCCATGGGTACCTACAGGATGAATTATTAAGAACAAAGTCTGCATCCCAATGTAGTTGGTCAATAGTTCTATCGCTCGAGTCCAATCCTAGCCATGGTTGCAACCATTCTCTCATCCACTGTGATCTCTCTGTTGGGGTGAAAGTGTTTCTTACACGCTGAAAGAAGGTCACCATAAAGAAGCTTGATTTTAAACAATTGGTGTGCATTTCGTCTAGCCATTCTCCTTATCTTCGTCAAGATCACAGAGGTTCAGATTTCAGGAGATCGCCTGAAACCATGCCTGGGACATGATGGATTGAGGGTAGGAGAAACTGTACATTGGCTTTTTTGTCCAGTAGTCCACGATGGACTTAGTTTTCACTAGACCCATGTAGACAACCAGCGCCACATAGGAGTTGAATTTAGCAATGGTTAGAGGTACTCAGCGAAACATTCTTACTTTTGTCCTCCTTTCAGCATTGCTATTGGTGTTGCGGATAAATGTCTTGATGGCAGAGGTGGTGGAAAACTTTAAGGCAGTATAAATTAGGTCATTCAAAAACTATGGACCTGGAGTTCATTTGGGAGAGATCCTGTGAAGTACTGGTTTCCCATCTTTAGTACTCAAGTCAAGCCATTTATCTGGTTTGCCCCCAACTTCTGACCAAGGTGAAAAGATTCCTTGGTTCTGGTATGCCTTAAAGAATAAGTTGTGATGGGCTTTGATTTCTCTTCTGCAGAAGTGGGCTGAGGAGTGACTCCAGACCTGGATGTTGGTTCTGACTCAGGTTCTAATTTGGTTAACAATGTAGGATTGGGAGCAGGCATTAAATACGATTTAGGGTGAGATCGGAAGGGAAATTGGAGATGACTATGGGGCTAAAATCAGCAGTTATCTTTGAACAAGGAATTGCGATAGGAGTGAGTTTAGGGACTGGTTAGGTTTGAATGGTAAAGAACTCCAACAGGGTCGACCTCTCTGTCTTGGTAGGGTGAAATCTGGACTGGGTATGATTTTGGTTTGTGGAGTGGAGTAATGGACAATAGAGGGAGAGGCTTCATGGGTGGGTTGATTGGGTGTGGTTTCAGTGGTAGATATGAGAGTGGATTCAGAGGTGGGCTGAATGAAAGTAGCTTCAGAATTAGAAGTGGGCTGAGGGATGGCTCCAGGGCTGGATGTTGGTTCTGACCCAGGTTCTAATTTGGTGAAGAAACTGGGATTAGGAGCAGCTTCAAATATGACTTTACAGTGGGATCAAAGTAAAAAATTGAGATGGCTATGGGGCTAATATCAGCAGTCAGCTTTGAACAAGAAATGGTGGTGGGAGTGGGCTAAGTGATTGATTTAGGATTGGATGGTAAATAACTCTTATGGGGCCGATGTCTCCGTCTTTGTAAGGTGGGTACTGGACTAAGTATGAGTGTGGCTTTAGAAGTGAAATTTTGGATGGTAGAGCGTGTGCATTCAGGGGTGGGTTGAGTTGGTGTAGCTTCAGAGTTAGAAGTGGGCTGAGGGATGTCTCTAGAGCTGGGTGCTGGTTCTGAACAGAGTTCTAATTTGCTGAAGAAAGTGGGATTGGGAGTCAGCTTTGAAAAAGGAATGGTAGTAGGGGTAGGTTAAGGAATTGGTTTAGGATTTGATGGTAAAGAACTCTTATGGGGCCGACCTCTCCTTTTTTGTAAGGTAGCAACTGGACTGGGTAAGAGTGTTGTTTGAGGAGAGGAATTATGGATGACAGAGTGGCGTCAGGAGTGAGGTGAGTGGGAGTGGATTTTGGGGTGAGTTCGAAAATCGAAGTAGCTCGAGAGGTAGGTTGAATAGTAGTGGCTTTAGAGTAATTTTAGGGGTAGTTTCAGAAGCGGGAGTAGCTTTAGATATAGGTTGAATGGTACTGGCTTTAAAGGTGGGTGTGGGAGTGACTTCATGAGGTGATTTGGAGGTGGATATGAAGAGTTTGCCTTGTGATGAAGTAGGTGACGGATGATTGCCACCCCTAGGTGACTGAGCTGATACAGGTGATTTTAAATGGTCTGGACTTTCCAGTTCCGATCTTCACCAAAATCAAAACTGTAACAGAACACACATAAAACAAACTGTAAGCCAACCTTTCGTTTGTGGATAATTCTGGTACAATGGTTGCTGTTCATGGGTCAAAAATCAAGAGTTTTTACTAAAACACAATGTCGTATAGCATCATTAAAGAAAAAAAAAAAAAACAGTTTGTTGTGCATAAGATCTCATCATAGCCTCATATAAGACAACAAAAAACATTCACTACACTTGAATTTTCTAAATTTCATAGCTTTATTTAAGAATCTACGTATATATTTTATTATATACTTATGTCTATATAATGGGGTGAGAGGCACCCTTAAGAATGCTGTTAAGTGACTCCACAAAATCTTCGACTTTGAATCCCCTTAAATAAAAGGATATAATGACAACATAAAACTTTCCACATTTGAGAAGAAAAAAATATTACATTTTATTCAGATGCCTTAACTGAGCAAAAAGATTTCATCTGGTCCAAATACTCTTATTTAAAATGGTCAAAAAGTAAGAAGAACTTATAGTTCATGACCAAATCTCTTATGTTTGTACTGTAGGGGCAAAACAAACAATACAACACAATGTTGAACACAATTCTTTCTCAAGCCTTTTGTACCATATTTGAAACACACACAAAAAAAGGATAATTAAAGTTTAAAATGATCAATCATTGAACCACATTCTTAAAATATATATTTCTACAGTTATGTTAAAATGCATTTTATTTGCGCCAGCATACCGTCGATCGTTTACAACAGCTTTTTAAAGCAAAGGTTTTGTGGTAATTTAGACATTATTAAAGTTGCATATCAAATGTGATGACAGAAAGCTTTGTAAGGTTAAAAATGTCATTATTTCATGAACCATCCAATCTTGAGTACGATTTAAGATTTCGATTGTCATTTTAAATAACTGTGAAACAATATTTCCATTGTATAGAATGTTACATTGCATTAAAAACAGATAAGGGGCCCATCACACACAATATGTCTCTACATTTTATTGTGGTCCTTTTCCATGATGTTTTTTTAAGAAAAACTTGCACATTAGGGATGTTTGTCACAGTCTTTCTGCAGCATTTCGCATGACCCAGCCTTCAAAAAGTCAGAAGTTGAAACAAGTTCAACTTTTAAAAAATCTAATCTCGGTTTGGGACATCAGGAGGTCATGTAAACGCTAGTCAGAAACAAAAAAAAACTCCCTTACTCACTCATCTTCCCACAGCTCGTCCTCCTTCTCTGAATCACTGGTCCTGTCAGTGTCTCCATCAAGGTCACTGTCGGCCTCAGGCTTGTGATCAGAGCCAAATATTGAGGTCAACTGATCATCCATGGTTGTTGGAGAAGGTTGAAAACTGAGCTCGGGGGAAGATTCAGAAGCAGGTGCATGATCAGAAGCAGGTTGTGAAATGTGATTTAAGGGTGCGCCTGTCTGCTGTGCATTGGCCAATGGAAGAAATGCTATTGAGAGTCGTTGCCTCTTTGCATTGGGAGATTCTGAGAATTCTGGGTTTTCGTCCTTTGGAGCAGGGCTTTCTTCATCAGTTGCATTCACACTGCAACACAAACCAAACCCACTTTATTTGCACACATTTAGTTTGTACTAACACCGCAATACAAAATAAGTCAGATAAAAGCAAGACTGAATACCATTAAAGCCTAGTTCACACTAGATGATTTTAAGCCTGATTTGAGCCCGATTTGGAAGGTAATGAGCTTGCCGAAGGAACGGGCTGTGATCAGGAAGAAATCTGCGGGTGCACGGCGCTCGCCACTCTTTATGTGTGAACTACTGAACAACACATCAACGAGGCTCGCTGACGCGTCGCCAACACCTCGCAGACGGAAATCCAATATTTAGCAAGCTGAATATTCCAGAGCAGTCGGCCGACTCAACCCCACGTGTGGTCAGATGTAGTGACGAGCTGCAGCCAATGGGAGAGCATATCAGCATGAGCTGAATGTGTGGCTGTTTCTCAATATCCGTTCTTCAGCGGTCTTGCGTCCTCGTGCAACGTCATCATCAGCTGCCTAAATTCAGTTCCAATACTCAAGACCGCAAGTACGGAGGATGCGTGAAACTTCCCGGATGTGATCTTGATATCGAGGACGCACCGATGCAGACTTGAGCACCGAACTCGCGCTGGAAGCCCTAGAAGTCATTGCTACTTGAGTTGGGAAAAGCAGTATTTTATTTAGATTTATTATTAAAGTTCAGAGATATCACTTATTTACCTCAGGAGTTTCCCTAAATGAAACGATGAAAGTAAACATTAACATGAACATCTTAATAAAGGAATAAACACATTAAGGGTGTTTGTTTGCTGAAATTCGTATTAAAATCTGTTTTATTTATATTGTGCAGAGTATATTTATCATGTTTTTATGCAAAGTATATATTTTGAAGAGGGGGGAAACAATAAATCATTGTTTGAGTGCTGTAATGTTTAAATAATTTCCATTTAAAACGCGTGAAGGTCACATGACCATCAGGAAGAACGCAGCATCCCATTTCTCAAAGGACGCGTTCTCTGTCCTCGTGGTCTCCTGAGTTTGTTCTTCCGAGGACACTTGGCAAGACCGATCTCCACAAGAACGCAAGTCCGTTCTCTGCGTTCTTGGAATTGAGAAACAGCCTATGTGTGTTCAGGAGCTCAGCAGAAACATCTGTGATTGGTCAGAATGGGCATCGGTGCACTCGCTTCATTCTGCGTTAGCACAGACATGAGAGTAGGCTATATTAACAGTGCAACTAGAATTCTGTAACTAATGGAATTACCATACTGCTCATTCTGACCGTTCTCATATAAAACGCCATATTGTCACAACATATTTACATTCAAAGCTATTATTGAGATATTAAAATTAAGCTTTGAATGTCTGGCATCATATTTAATGACACCATTACTCTAAAAATATAATCTTTTTTCGGTAATACAGCCTATAAATATGTAGTTAAGATACTAGAACATGCAAAGGTCTTGGCTTTCATTTTCACTTTCAAACAGGAGCTATTTAACAGCACAGAATATGCCGTTTTGAAAGATATCTGAAGTAAATTGATGTTTTTGCCATCAGAAAGTTTTGTTTATGTTAGCAGTAGTTGCTAGGCAAAAAATGCACACATATTTACAGTGAAAAGTATCAGACATGCATGCAGTCATTTTGACCAATATGGTAATTTAAGGGTGCTTTCACACCTGTGAATCGATTCAGTTGTTCCGAAACAGAGATTACAATTGTTACATTGTTGCTCTTTGCTCTTGGAGCGGTTCGCTTTCACATTGCAAAGTTTCTAAACGGACCAAAATAGCTAAAACAAGTCACGTGCGAGTAAACTCTCCTTACATTGGTCAGAGTTTATTTTGCAGCGTCCCGCTAAGCTGTCAGGAGAGGTGGTGGTTTGGTGGTGATTGACAGGGTGCGCGCGATGTGTCTGAGGAGAGACACGGTGGGGAGGGGTGAGAAGGGTGCGCGACGATGCCTATTTGAGGACCGGGAGGGAGACGCGAGATTACCGGGAGATCATCACTCGTTTGCGGGCATCCGGAGACTCGCGAAAATTCCCGCCCTACTCATAATTCTCTCTTCATATATAGCCGTAAGCCTATTACATATCCATAAAACACTGTGATATAACCGCGCTCGGATCGGATCGCTTTCTCACTGCAATCGAACCGCTCAAGGGTTCGTTTCAATCGAGCCGAGACCACCTCATTCAAGCGATCTCGGAGCGATTACTTTGGCGCGGAACAGAGCGCGATTGCCCTGTTCACATATGCCAAACGAACCGCGCTAACTGGGCAAACGAGACACGTTCCGAAACAAAAGTGTAGGTGTGAAAGCACCCTAAGGCAGAAATGCTCAGTTCTTTACTGTTTTGTAATTAAAAAAAATTATGTCAGAAAGAAATACACTGATAATTAGAAAATGGCAGAGTGTTATAGATATGTTAGTTTTATTTCAAAGAGTTATACAATTACAAAAATTAAAAACTCTCTGTGTATCTATCTACTCAAACCTTGCAGATGAGTGATTAATGCGCTGATAAATCAGCTGATTTGACGATGTTTTTAAATGCTTTCTCCAAAGCTTGAAACGCTGTCAGTGATGTCATCAGCACACAAGCAGCCAATAGTGTTCAGCTTTTTCTGACGCCTCCCTCAAAATTTCATTGGCTGTGGTTTGGTAGCTTGAATGAACTGATGGGGAATGAGTTGTTGTCAGATCATGTAGTGTGTGACCCCCCTCTTGTGGATCGTTCACGGAGTGTTGCGTAGTGTGAACACCACAGCGATTAAAAGACACAAAGTCAAGTCATGTAGTGTGAACGGCACAGCAATCTGCCGATGTTTAAAATCCTGTAGTGTGAACTAGGCTTAACATTCATCAGGGAAAGAACGCAGGGATGTCATGATACTGGAATTCGGTACCATTGATAATGAAATTTTAAAAAGCGTTCATTTCCTGCTAACATTTAAGCGCGTTCTTAAACATCGCTGATGTGCTATTGTGTTTACATGCTCAACAGAAATGACTGCGATTAGCCGTCAAGCTCATCGGTTCACCAAACTCACCTCTGTTTACTGAGTGTAACCACAGATACAGGGACACTGGAGTGTTTTAAAGTCATGTCGATCAGCTGGTTTGTCTATAAGCTGACATACGAGCGATCCCATGATGAATCGCAGCTTTAAAACGATCCGCTGTCTTTGTATCTGTGGTTACACTGAGTAAACATTTCTGGATTTCACTGCATGCTCAACTCAAATGAAGAAATAGACATATTAATGTTAACAACATGATGTTTACTCACCTCGTCTGCTCTTCGGCTTTGCTCTCTCTGGAGTCTCCGTCTACCAGAATCTTCGTCGATGTAGTTGTACAGAAGAGCGTGGCAAGCGATTGCGAATTCGAATCGGATGTAGCAGAATTCAGGCTGAGATTAAAAGCAGATGTGGAATTCGGGATGAGTATGGGTGCAGAATTGGGATTCAAATTAACGGAGGATGCGGGACTGGAAAGAGTTAAAGGACTGAAATCAGGGCCGAGTGTAATGGTGGATGTGGAATTAGGCCCAAGTTTAAGGTTCTGCGCTGAAGTATTAGGGATCAAAGTTGCAAACACAGGAGGTTTGGGCACGATCATGGGATACAGGGTGGGTTTTTGAAGGAGTTTGACTTTGGATTTGTCTTTAGGAGGTCTGCCTCGCCTACTCTTCATGCCAGGGGGAGCTGGTGCGATTCTAGGCAAAATCACTGGTTTCACTGCTGGTGCTGGTGCTGCTGGCGGTGGATTAGAAACGTTTTTACGTGGTCGTCCTCTTCGTCGTGGTAAAGATGATGATGACGGGGATGCATTTTTCTTTAGTTTTGACTGCATGAGAGGCTCCCATTCTTCAGAAGAATCAATACTGCAACAAATAATCAATACACTAATGAGGAGTGCACTTAAACAATAAACAGAACAGTTGCATTAATCTTTACTGCTGTGATCAGGGCTTGACATTAACAAGCAAGACCAACACTCCCACTAGCCACTTTGGCTAGTTGAAAACAATTTTTTCGGATTATAATTCTTAAAGCAGAGTTCTACAATAAGGAAGGTCAAATATGCATGCAAAGATGGTCTGGGAATTGAGAAGCAACACGACTGGCAAAAATAATTGCGTTCACGCGAGCAATAGAAAGCAGGTGAACAACGAATGAGAGGATAATCACTCGCGCTAACAGCTAAGGTGATGCGCGCTACCGTTTCCTTGCGTGAAGCAACTGTGTCTAGAAACACGACCGATGTGATCGGGTCCCTTTCAAATAGACTAGACAAATGAACATGCACCCACAGTCTTGCTGCTTTCAAGGGTTCCAGATTTGTCTTTTTGTAAGCAGCATCAGTTGCTTTCACTTTAAACATTCTTTGAACAGATTATTATGGGTCTAACGTTAACCGGGCATGTGTGATCATCTTTCATTATCACACGGTTTGTATTTTACCTGCTTTCTTTTGCGTTAAGCTAATATGGTTTAATTATCATTTTTTACAATAACATTGCTTTAATGGGAGATTAACTCCCCGTTCATGTGTAGTTAACAGGTGATCTGGGACCTTTAGCCAGGACAGATTACTGTGTATATGTTTTGTTAAATAAAAAATATAGCATACAGCTATATTTTGCTTGCTTTGGCATATTTAAAATTTGTGGCTAAGAAACAATTAATTGTTTATGTTTGTTGTGGTAAGAGATTTATTCATTCATTTTCTTTTCGGCTTAATTCCTTTATTAATCAGGAGTCGCCACAGTGGAATGAACCGCCAACTTATCCAGCATATGTTTTACGCAGCGGATACCCTTCCAGCCGCAATCCATCCCTGAGAAGTGGTGCGAGATAAATTTGGTAAATACTTCCTTTTGAGCTCTGAAAATTATGTGAAATAAAAACTAATTGCAATACTATGAAATTGTGACCAAAATCTAAATCTTATTTTAGCATGTCAAAGTCTTATTTATGTGTATAAAATATATTTTCCCAACAATAAAATTGTGGCTAGTGAAAATGGCGAGTGGCTAGTAATGTTGGAAATCTACTAGCCACAGTTTCTGGTGATCAAAAAAAGTTAATGTCAAGCCCTGGTTGCGATCATAACAGATATAATAACCCAAAAACAAAAAGTGACTGCAGTGCTTGCAAGATTTAAATTCTTAAAGACTATTTAAGACTATTATTAATTGGCATTTCAGACTTTTACTTTTGTCTTAAATGCTAAGACTATTTTTTATAATATGCTGGTGGTGCATAGTCATTTCTGTTTACCTGAACACCATGGCCAATCAGTGGTGTTTAAGAATGAGCTTAACAGCACTTAAATGTTACTGGGAAATGGATAAGGGTGTCACGATCCTCCAAATCCTTGATTCAATTACATTTTCGATTCTAAAGGCACGATTCGATTTTCGATTATGAATAATTAATTAATTAATTAATGACCAATTAATTATTTGTAGCCTACCGTTTAAACTACCTGACCTGCAGGGTCTTTGTTTTACCCATAAACAAATCATACAGTAAATGAATAAAGGCAAGACACACACATAATTACCACCTGTCAATCACTTTTTCTGCAGGACTCGTGAATAGGCAGTGATCTGTGTCGTTATAATGGCGTCAGTAAAAAAGACGCACAACCAACAGGAACCAGCCAACAGTATCTGAGGTGTTCGCTAAAATGACTAAGTACAAGTGAGTGAAAGATTGAAGCAGTCCTCTGACTGCCTGGACCTGCTGTCTCGAGCTCATATGGCTGTGTGTGCGTCTCTGTGTGGTCACGTGATGTGCATTTTCAGAGGTAGTGAGGAAGGAGGGCTGCTCAGAAATGCTACACGCCACTGTGGATGTGTGTAAACAGGGCCTGAGTGTGTACTTTTCGCGAGCGGATTTGCAACGAGGCGGGCGGAGGATCGCGATGCCGGTGTTGTCTATCGGACAAACCGTACGTAATACGTACATATCAGAGCTTGCAAAACTGTGTTTTTTGGTCGACAACACGAACGTTGTCAACATAACTCACTGGAAATCCAAAATGCTTACACACCGGCGACTTCATTGAAAGAGGAGATGGGTTTAAGCTCTGTCGACGGGTCTCCTGCTTCTGCAGTTTAACAAGCACTTCAAGCCTGTTTTTTTCCCGCTTGGCAAGCCAAGCTGATGTGACATGGGGGCGTGGCAGCATCGATGATTCTATTTTTTGATTCGATAATCGAAGTTGAGCATAAATTTCAATCGATTTCAATTAAAAATCTAAATCGTGACACCCCTAGAAATGGACGTTTTTAAAATTTCAGTACCGTACTCAATACTTGTGACAACCGTAATCGATCCATAAATCATGTTTTTGGAAACTTTGTAAGCATTTCAACGACTTGAGCATCTTCTTGTGAATAACTGACTAAGGTTGGGTTGATAGACGATGCCATCGCTGATGGCCAATAGACATCACGATGCTGAGCCAGCACCACGATCCTCTGCCCCCGCCCCAGCAGCAACCTGCTCGCGAAAGATAAACACATCCCCATTTCCAATAATGCGTCTTAGTTTTAAACTGGCTTTTTAGAACAAAAACGATCCACATCCGGACTTGTGTTTCACCTAGCATTTCTGAAAAGCCCTACTTCCACACTATATGAAGTTCCTAACGCAGGGGTCACCAACCTTTATGAAACTGAGAGCTACTTCTTGGGTACCGCTTAATGTGGAGGGCTACCAGTTTGATAAACACTTCTCAAATAACAAATTTGCTCAATTTACTTTTAATTATACTTTATGTTTTTGGTAATAATTAATGATATTCATCCCTGTGAAGACACAGATCATGTTAATGATTCTCACAAAAGTTATCAACAATGATTTAACAGGGTAGGAAATGCCCTGTATTTAATGTATCAATGTGCAGCACTTTATTTTTAGATATCTCTGCAAATATTTACATTTTTAAATGATTACGTCTATATTAGATGAAGCTTACTGGTAAGTGGTGCTATGGTGAGCTATTTTTAGAACAGGCCTGCGGGCAACACCTGTGATCCTCGCAGGCTACCCTGTTGGTAACCCTTGTCCTAACGTAAGTTTGAGATGATCAGTCAGGTGGGTCAGTCAATCATCACGCAAGTACAGAAGTAGCGGTCTTTGCACTGTTTCAGTTGACTTTCGTTTCGGCATCCCTCCACCTCCCCATCTCCTCCTCTGTTCTCTAAAGACTCAACTGCAAAATCGTTTACCATGTTGACGCAATTGATTGAGCAGGTGAACTTGTGAAACTATTGAAAACGCACATCACATGACCACACACACACACACACACTGTCATGAGCTGCAGCATATGTACGCGTCTGAGCTCCAGCAATTGTGCTTTGAGCACAAAACCCCAGAGAGCAGTGCACACCGCACAGTTTATCAAGGATGTCCCGCTGGATCTCGAACCACTTGTTAAACGTGATAATTAATTAATCTTGTCTCTATCTAACGACTATTTTGTCTTTTGAATCTATTAGGTAGCGTGTCACAGCGTCAGTACGCTGCTTTAACCCTTCGCTTTCCTGCAGCCGTAGTCATTTTAGTGAAAACCTCAGATACTGTTGGTTGGTTGTGCAGCTTTTTTACCAACCAAATTTGTGGACGCCATTAAAACGACACAGATCACTCTGCCTATTCATGCCGGAGTCCCGCGGAAAAAGTGATTGACCGGTGGTAATTTGTGTGTAACTTATCCTTATTTATTTATGATTTGGTTATGGGTAAAACAAAGACCATGCGGGTCAGGTAGTTGAAATGGGTAGGCTACAAATAAACAATTTGTTATGAATGAATAAATTATTCATAAATAATAAATTCACCGATGCCATCGTCCATTGTGAAGTTTAACAGATATCGTATGATGCCAAATTGGTTGACATTGCCCAACCCTAAAACTTACACAAGCAAAGTCAAGATGGTCAACAGTGCTTTAACTATAAGATCTGACTGTAAGGAGCATCTTTCCACATTGACTGTCATTCAAATATAAACCATGTGTAAACAGTAAATCCATGCAAATCTCCAATAGCAGATTGTCATTTTTGTTGGATAGCATCAATTGCTTTTATAGGGTCAGGTCTCTTTTGAAGGCTCTATAATTAATTGAATTATATGTTCCATGCATAAAATATATCATTGACCACAGATGATGAATGCATAGAATATTAAGTAAGCCTGCCTCCATACAATTTTATCTGCATATGACTTGGCATTTGGAGTTATTGTGGACATTTCCCACTGAAACATTTGTGGCCCTGGACCCCAAAACCAGTCCTATGTTGCACAAGTAGTATATGTGGAAATAGCAAAAGATTGCATTGTGCGAGTAAAAACGACGAGGCTTTTATTTAATGCAAATATCATTGGAATATTACGAAAAAAATGTTTAATGAAGACATTTTGTAAACGTAAGTAAATATACCCAAACTTAATTTTCTGATTATTAGTAATATGCTTTGCTGAGAACTTTAGTTTGGTCAACTTTTAAGGTCATTTTCCTTATTTAGTTAGCTAAATATTGCATGATAACAAACTATACAACAATGCAGAGCTAAATTACTCAGCTTTCAGATAATGTAAAAAAATCTATTTCAGAAAACAAAAGACCCCCATGACCGTATGATTTTGTGGTCCGAGATCACATTTGATAAAAAGTTCAGCACACAAATAGTGATGCACGATGAGGTCATTTTGATTGTAGCCTTTTCTCAAACGCTAAAGAACATCTACATTGATTTAAGCATAACTGAATAATTAGCAAAATACAGTGTATTTGTTATTGAGGTAAAGTTGGTTTTATATTCCCACATTCATTAATTCTGATTATTATTGTTTACCATGCTACTTTGAATATTCAGTAAGAAATAGCATGTAATTATGAAAACATTAGCACTATTTAATCGAATGCGAACAATGTTGTAGTCATTGACTGCTAATATGATTTCTCTATTCAGAATTTGCTAATAATACATCTCTGCAATTTATATTATTAAGGAAAATATCCAAATGTATGAAAATAAACCAACTTTACCCCAATGTTTTGATTTCATGGTGCATTCACCAAAGTAATTAAGCACTGTTCCCCCCCTCCAGGTATAAAAGTTGCATTTCAATAAACAGTAAGTAAATTAAATGAAATAAATACATTTTAAAAGTTGTATATTTGCCAAATATTGCACGATAACAAACCATACATCAATGCAAAGGTAATTTATTCACCTTTTAGATTATGCATTAACTTAATTTCTCCTCAAAAAAACTGACTCATTTAACTGATTTTTTTATTTTTTTTGCTCTAAGAATACATTTGAGAAAAAAGTTAATTAATTACACAAATAGTGACGCCCCTATGCATGATGACATCATTTTGATTCAGGCCTTTTCTCAAACGCTAAAGAACATCTACATTGATTTAAGCATAATTGAATAATTAGCAAAATACAGTGTATTTGTTACGGAGGTAAAGTTGGTTTTATATTCCCAAATTCATTAATTCTGATTATTATTATTGTTTAACATGCTACTTTGAATATTCAGTAAGAAATAGCATGTAATTATGAAAACATTAGCACTATTTAATCGAATGCGAACAATGTTGTAGTCATTGACTGCTAATATGATTTCTCTATTCAGAATTTGCTAATAATACTTCTCGGCAATTTATATTATTAA